GCGCTTACCTCCTTGTCGTTCCGAAGGACATGCGGGATGAAGTCCTCTCTGCGTGTCATGACGAGCCCACATCTGGTCATCTATGTTACTCGCGAACGCTCGCCAGAGTAAGTGAGGCGTACTACTGGCCCGGACTTTCTGCAAGCGTGAAGCAGTACGTTAAAAGCTGTCGTGAATGCCAGCGTCGAAAGTCGCCACCAAGCAAGCCGGCTGGATTACTTCAGCCAATTGATCCACCCCACAAGCCATTTGACCAAGTTGGCATGGACATTCTCGGCCCATTTCCTTTATCGTCTGACGGCAACAAATGGGTCATTGTTGCAACTGACTATTTGACCCGCTATGCTGAGACACAGGCGATACCACGAGCCACGGCTTCTGAGGTAGCACAGTTCTTCATGTGCCACATTGTTTGCGCCACGGTGCTCCATCTACAGTGATAACCGACAGAGGAACAGCGTTCACTGCACAACTTATCGATGAAGTTTTTCGACTAAGTAACACTAGGCATCGAACGACGACTGCTTACCATCCGCAGAGCAATGGCTTAACCGAGCGACTAAATAAGACAGTCACAAACATGATCTCCATGTACATCGACGTCCAACACAAAACATGGGATCACATTTTGCCTTATGTGACGTTCGCTTATAACACCGCCGTTCAAGAAACAACCCGATTTACACCGTTTCGCCTTCTCTACGGCCGCGAAGTTCAGACGATGCTGGATGCGATGCTTCCTTGTGAAGGCGCCGATCAATTAACAACTGACGCAGAAGAATTTGCAGAGCGTGCCGAAGAAACTCGCCAGCTCGCCCGGCTACACATTGGTCAGCAGCAACAGGTTGATGCACGACATTACAATATGCGTCACAATGACGTATCTTACAGACCGGGAGACCAAGTTTGGATTTGGACCCCTGTTCGACGCCGTGGCCTCTCCGAAAAGTTGCTCAGCAGATACTTCGGTCCGTATAAAGTATTACGCCGCGTGAGCGACGTAAACTACGAAGTGGTTCCGGACGCTACGTCGTCACGATGGGTACAACGAAAACAACCGACCTCTGACATAGTTTACGTGGTGCGCATGAAGCCCTATTTTGCGCGTTCCTAAAAGACCACTTTTCCTGTGTTTTTTTTATTTGTGCTCCGACAATTGCCTCATCATTGAACTTATCGCGTCTAACATTTCATTATTGGTGCCCTTTTTCATTGTTTAAACTACTTTGTTTTGGTTTTTTTTTTTTCAATAACTTTGCAGCATCGGGACGATGCTGTTTTTTTTTGTTGTTGAGGGGGAATATTGCCACCTCTTTCTAGTAGTGGGTCGTATGCCAAGGTGAAGGCCCACACCACAGAAAAGAAAGAAGTGCACGTGGGCCCTCGCTCTGGCAAACAAGCCCAACCGACGCGCTTGGCTTAGAGCCCTGTTGCTCAGACGTCAGTAAATCTTGTCGACACCCCCTGGAGTGACGTGACAATATATTGTATGTTTTACAGTTGAACTCCGCTACAACCAACGCTGCTTCAACGAAATTTCCGCTACAACGAAAATTTCATGATTCCCCGTCAGCAGGTCTTGGAGTCAACGCAAAAATATTGTCGCCACAGCGAACACTTTTTCTTTGATCGTCCGCTTCAACGAAATTTTATGATGCGATTCCTGGCTCAAATATTTATTGCTATGCAGTAAACCGAATCATGAACCTTTCGATGCATCTTCAGAGCCTGAAAATGCGTCAATGAAGTCTAAAACGGGCGTTGGCACAACTAGAAAACGCCGCTATACTGCTGCACTTCAGCAAGCATGGGTTCCGCCATTGCTCGATAGTGATGGCAATGAGACTGCCCTGGCCCTGCTTTTGCCACTGGCTTGCTTTTGAGCCGCAGATGATTCGAAGCTGAAGCTCAGCCACTCAGTGGTTGATGGTTTCCTTCACGCAGCTGCTGGGTGCAACTGCGGAACAATGCCTATTCCGATGCTTATCATGTTCCTGCTTGGCCAGTGTGGTCACTAATCAGAGCGGCTGTTCGTCCGCATTATCAACAAAATCAGTTAGCCGCGAGTGATGGGTGATAAAAATGGCATCATCATCATCATCATCATCAGCCTGACTACGTCCCCTGCAGGACAAAGGCCTCTCCCATGTTCCGCCAGTTAACCCGGTCCTGTGCTTGCTGCTGCCAATTTGTACCTGCAAACTTCTTAATCTCATCTGCCCACCTAACCTTCTGTCTCCCCCTAACCCGCTTCCCTTCTCTGGGAATCCAGTTAGTTACCCTTAATGACCAGCGGTTATCCTGTCTACGCGCTACATGCCCGGCCCATGTCCATTTCCTCTTCTTTATTTCAACTATGATATCCTTAACCCCCGTTTGTCCCCCTAATCCACTCTGCTCTCTTCTTGTCTCTTAAGGTTACACCTACCATTTTTCTTTCCATTGCTCGCTGCGTCGTCCTCAATTTAAGCTGAACCCTCTTTGTAAGTCTCCAGGTTTCTGCTCCGTAGCTAAGTACCGGCAAGATACAGCTGTTATATACCTTCTTCTTGAGGGATAGTGGCAATCTACCTGTCATAATTTGAGAGTGCTTGCCGAATGTGCTCCACCCCATTCTTATTCTTCTAGTTACTTCAATCTCGTGGTCAGGCTCTGCGGTTATTACCTGCCCTCAGTAGACATAGTCTTTTACAACTTCAAGTGCACTATTACCTATCTCGAAGCGCTGCTCCTTTCCGAGGTTGTTGTACATTACTTTCGTTTTCTGCAGATTCATTTTAAGACCCACCTTTCCGCTCTCCCTGTCTAACTCTGTAATCATGAGTTGCAATTCGTTCCCTGAGTTACTCAGCAATGCAATGTCATCGGCGAAGCGCAAGTTACTAAGGTATTCTCCATTAACTCTTATCCCTAACTGTTCCCGTTCTAGGCTTCTGAAAACCTCCTGTAAGCACACGGTAAATAGCATTGGGGAGATTGTGTCCCCCTGCCTTACACCCTTCTTGATTGGTATTCTGTTGCTTTCTTTATGAAGCACTATGGTAGCAGTTGATCCCCTGTAGATTTCTTCCAGAATGTTTATATATACTTTATCTACGCTTTGATTTCGCAGTTACTAAGGTACTAGTTACTGGCATGACGGCTGATATTTCTACTGAATCAAGCGCCTTCTCGTAATCTATGAAGGCTATGAATAGTGGTTGGTTATACTCTGAGCATTTCTCTCTTACCTGATTGATAGTATGAATGTGGTCAATTGTTGATTAGCCTGTTCTAAATCCTGCTTGTTCCTTTGGTTGATTGAATTCTAATGTTTTCTTTACTCTGTTAGCAATTACCTTTGTAAATAGCTTGTATACTACAGAGAGCAAGCTGATCGGCCTGTAATTCTTCAAGTCTTGTCATCTCCTTTCTTATGTATTAAGATGATGTTAGCGTTCTTCCAAGACTCTGGTACCCTTCCCGTCAGGAGACACCTCGTAAACAGGGTGGCTAGTTTTTCTAACACAATCTGTCTTCCATCTTTCAGCAGGTCTGATGTTACCTGATCCTCACCAGCAGCTTTGCCTCTTTGCATGCTCTCCAAAGCTTTTCTGACTTCTTCTATCATTACTGGTGGGGTGTCATCTGGGTTACTGCTAGTTCTTATAGTATTAAGGTCGTGGTTGTCTCGGCTACTGTACAGATCTCTGTAAAACTCCTCCGCTATTTTAACTATCCTATCCATATTGGTAGTTATTTTGCCTTCTTTGTCCCTTAATGCATACATCCGACTTTTGCCTATCCCAAGTTTCCTATTCACTGCTTTGACGCTTTCTCCGTTTTTCAGAGCATGTTCAATTCTCTCCATGTTATACCTTCTTACATCGCATACCTTACGCCTATTAATCAACTTCGAAAGCTCTGCCAGTTCTATTTTGTCTGTTGTACTTGAGACTTTCATGATTTGACGCTTCTTAATTAGGTTCTTCGTTTCCTGGGAAAGCTTGCCAGTGTCCTGTCTAACTACCCTGCCTCCAACTTCCACTGCACACTCCCTAATGATACTCGTCAGATTATCATTCATTGTATCTACGCTAAGGTTGGTTTCCTCATTAAGAGCCGATACCTGTTCTGCAGCGACACTCTGAATTCCTCTTGGCATAGAATAATGGCATAAAAAAATGGCATAGAATAATGCAAATGTCGCCGCTCCACGATACCCTGCCTTTATGTTGGTGTTGTCGGATACTTTTGATGGCGAACAGCTGCTGGTGTTAACAAGTTAATGCAACTGTTGGTTCGCTCACGAAGGCGGTTTTAGGCGTTTTTTCAGCGTGCTTTTCACCATGGCCTCGCTGTGCATGAGTAAGAATGACGTCGTGACGCTGCTGGAAAAAAATGGGAAGCAGCGGACTTTTTTTTTTTTTTTTTGAGAATAAACGTTTCCTTGTTTTGCTAGCTCAGATCAGCTATATTTTTTCTATTTCACTACAACGAAATTTTTTCCACGCCCCGTCAGTTTTGTTGTAGCTGGGTTCGACTGTATTGTGTGGGAGATCGATATACATGTGCACCAGCTCCATACTTATCCCGAAATTTTTATATGCATTCGAGTTTGATATATAATTGTTGTATTTAGCTAAAACTCTCGAATGTCGGGACAAAGGGTAAGTGTTAGCTGCGAGTGTTTGGGGACCTTTATGGTGGGGATACAGGGAACTGTGTGCAGCCCACAACGCAACGCCACTCATTGCGTGACCCCCCCCCCCCCTACTGGGAAGTGCAGGTCCCAGACCAAACCAGTGAAATGCTCGCCAAACACGCACAATTGTTGCCTTGTGGGCACTTCGCTTCTGTCACTTTAGCATGAATGACATCACACACACAATCTGTCCTGTAATTGTGGGGTGGGCAGTAAAATTGATTTGTAAAACACCTGTGTAGATACCTCTTTGTCCTTTGAGGTGACATAAATGATGGTTGCGAAGTCTCCAGAGGTGGGGCCGTAATCACTGCAGGCTATCCACCCTTCTGCTCGGAGACCCCCCAGGAGACGTACCGCAAGGTGATGTCGTGGCGCGAGACGCTGGTCTTTCCGGCCGAAGTGCCTATTTCAGAGGATGCCCGGGCGCTGATCCAGGGCTTCTGCTCGGAGGCAGAGCGCCGTGTTGGTGCCCACGGCGGCTTGGCGCAGATACAGGCGCAGGCCTTTTTCCGTGGTGTTGACTGGGAGCACATCCGCGAGCGGCCTGCAGCCATTCCCATGGAGGTCAAGAGTATCGACGACACCTCAAACTTCGACGAGTTCCCCGACGTTGACCTCAAGATCCGTAAGTTGTGCACTTTGTGCCTCTCGTTTAATACTTAGATTGTCCACGCTGGGCATAGTGATACATGTTTGGTCCAAAAGACCTTTTTCAAGCAATTCCACAACGTCTTGCGGGCGCGCGGAGCACTATAAGAAAAGTTGGTACGCCGAGATAACCGGCTCTTCCTCCGCCCGCTGTTCATTGGCGCTGCACAAAACGAAAAGAACATACCACCGCTTGTTGAATCGGGTCCGAACACACCTGCATGTATATCTACGCATGAAATGTAAAAGGAATAACGCAGTCAGTGTAGGTATCACTGGACGGGTGTACATCGAATGTAGATGATGAGTGGCATACGAGTTGTTGCGTACCGATACATTGTGGTCAAAACATGCTATCTGGAGGAATGTGAGCTGGAACACTGAATTCATTGTTATCTATGAACTGCTCATAAAGGGCCATGGCTTTTAATACCATCCTGATTTGATTGGACCATTAACACAAGACTGCAGAGAAGTGTTATATCTATAGAATTCTTCAAACTTTTTATGGACAAGTCACGTGCTGACAGAAAGGAAAAGAAAGCACATTCTGACAAAGGGATGGAACTAGAATTCACGTGCGAGATACCTTGCTCTGAATAATTTGCGGTTTCTTATAACATGCTTAAGTGTCTCTGCGGAGCAAATTTGCTGGCAGTATATTTGAATGAGACCACTATTGAATTTCGCGTCCGTGCATTAAAATATTGTTCAACGAGGAATAATGCTGTCGTACTTACCTTCGGTGAAAAGAAAAAAAAAACTTGGGCATATCACATGACCAACAGTTTCCAGCTGCAAGACGACGCGGTGTCGTACCTGTATCATATTGTATCGGTTTGTGAACAGCTCATTTGCACTGGAAACAAAGATTAATTCAGACGACCTTCACCTGTGAAGAAACTAGGAATATTGCAGTTGTTCCATGCATACATTCTGCAGAGTGTGAAAGGAAATTGGGAAGCGATACGAAGTGAGCGTTCTGTTTTCAGCATTTTATGCTTAGTAACATTTCTTCCCTAAAGTGCAAAAGGTCTCACGGGTCTGTAGTGGGCAGAGAAAAAGACTATAAGAGGCATGTCAATTGTTCTTTGAATTGTGCAAAAGTTGCTAACCGAATTTCTCTTGTGTTCACATATATACATCGTTCAGACTGATTGATGTATCAGCACATGCCTCAGAGAGCATCAAAGTTCATTGAATGAAGCCATCTCATTGTTCCTCCCATTTTCAGTCATGCCATTTCACCTTTGAAGGCCTGGTAATCTTGCGCAGTCACCCTAACCAGACCACACAAGAAATCTCAGGGACGTATCTTAAGGAACACCACTCCTTGTTTAAGTCAATTAACCTTCACTATCACTACAACACAACCTTATTGATCAATGGTTAACACGTGCCTCGGTTGTTAGTCTTTCTGTACTTCTTTGTGACGCCCCCATTTTCTTAAATATGTTTGTTAACAGGTGTGATAACCTTTCATTTGTCAGTGAGGGTTTCCAGTGTGCATATTTCTTTCCTGGTCCTACTTCTTTCTTTTTGGTCTGTACGCTTTATTTCAACCTGCAGTTACAGTACCAAGGGAAATTGGTAGACGCATATGCTGCGAGCAACGTGCAGTGGTCTATGCATTTTATTTTCACGAAATTGCGCTTATTTCTAAAGCACTCTTTGAATATACCAGAACCACACAATTTATTCGTAAATAGCATCAAAGGACATTGATTCCTAATGCATCCGTGAATTTAGGGGCAGTGCTTGCACTTTTTAGGCAACCAAGTTGTACTACTTTTTATTTATGCAAAAGGGGGACTGACGCTAAAGGATAATTATAATCAACTGACGCTTCTGAGCTGGTTGAACAGGTGGACAAGTGCAAATCGTAGACAGGTCATACCAAACACTGAAGTTTGGGAGTGAATCGCGCAGTGATATATCAGACCTTGCCGAGTACATTTGATCTAAGAAGCGCTGGCGCGGTGTAAACGGAAAGTTGAAACGTGAGGCCCGTGCACTCGTCGCGGCGGCTGCTGTGGCGTACCAGCTTTTCCCACAAGAGCTTGGCCGCTCGTTGGTGGCACTAATGTGCTTAAAAAAGGTTTATTCAAACATGGCAACTTGGATCAGTAATAGCAGCGGGTCACCGTAGACTACAGACGCTAGGTCATCGTAGACTAATATCGATGTTAAAGTTTCTCTATCATCTCTATCATGGTCACTTCAGAATAAATCGCTCTAAATACTTGCATTGTCTGACTAGACATTCCTCTCAAATGGGTGACAGTAAAATGGTGAGACAATGTATAAGCCTCATAAACTCGCACAAGTATTCATTATTTCCAGCTGCCATCGACTGTTGGAATAAATTACCTGAAAATGTGGTTTCTGCTGCCTCAACAGACTCCTTTGTTAATATTATTGATAAAATTAACTTTGGTGTGTAAAGTGTTCCCAATCCAATGTTGTGTAATTTACTTTGAATCCTTTCAAACTTATGTGTATACGGAAAGCAACGCTATATGTCTAGCACTTTTTACATTTTTTACTTTTTATTTTGATCGACCATGTGTCTATTTATGCCACTCATCCACATCTACTTTTTTGTCACCACTCCTGCTTAGGCCCGAATGTGGCCTGCGGTGTGTATAAATAAATAAAGTGAGCAGACAGCATCCCGCAAAGAACCGAGTTAGCTGCTTAGGTGCCAGCAGGTGGCTCGAAGGGTTGAGAGGGTCTCTTTGCACAAGGAACATTCTGTAAATGCCAACGTATCATGACTGCACTCTGGTAACTTTTTAGTAATGCAATAACCATGCGTCACTGTTGCCCCGTACTTTTGCATGCAGCCTGTGCCCCGCCTGTGACCCCGAGCAAGGAGCACACGGAGGCCGGCTACAAGGATTGGGTCTTCATCAACTACACCTTCAAGCGCTTCGAAGGACTCACACAGCGGGGCGTCAAGCCTCCCAAGAAGTGCTGACTGGGAGGGCAGCAGATTGAGCAAAGTGCGTGCAGACAGTTGGCGGTGCTTCGCTGGCACGTTTCTTGCCACTGGTGATACCTGAAGAATTGCGACACAGACAGTGTGTGCCATCCCCATGAGAAGGCACTGAGAGTGTGCCCGTATGCGTGTGTGTGTCTGGTCTTGGAAGGTATTGAGAGAAGACGTGTTGAGGCTTTCAACCATGAAGGCTGAAGAGAGTAAGATGTTTAGTTAGGGACAGTGAGACACTGGAAAGGAAATGCCTGGACACAGTGGCTGTCATTCATTCTGGCATGGTACATGATCTCTTGACTTGGCTGGATTGTAGAACATAGTCCTCATTTTAAGCAAACCTGTTGAGTGCTGACTTGGCCAGTAGTTTTTGAAGAGAGTTGTTATGGTGACCAGTGGGTTCACCTCTACTCAACCTGCGCTTGTTGCTGGCAGTTGTTGGGCAGGAGTAGTGTGAGCGAGGCACATGGCCATGTTCATTTGCCTGTTGTGCAGTGCAATAAAACGCTGGCAGCAAACATGCTTTACAGCAATACACTTGCTATGCTGGACCACCTAATGTGTAACTACTTGAAAGGCAAGATTACATATGAAAAGAAAAAAAAATAAAGAATGGATGCCAAGTTGTACACTAGTGCCCTCTCTGTTTGTAACCTTGTGCCACGTCTTTCAAGCTGCTTGTGAGGCACCGGCAGGCTGGTTGGTTGCATATGATTTATTAGATAGCAGTTCTAATTTAAGAGACAGATGCAAATAAAGTTGTATACTATGCAGCTGCTGCGTTGTTCATTGTAGGTATCCTAGCAGACCATTTGGTGAAACAGCAGGCTACTAGACAAAGGACAAGAGTGCACAGGACATGTGCTGAATTTACAATTGAAGTTCATTTGAAAAACCTATGAGAGATATGCATGATAGTAACATGTGGTAGGCAATGCACGGTCCAGTAGCATAGACGTTGGTGGCAACAACCATCTAACTACTTTGTCAAACAGTGCCAAGGGGTGGGATGACTGACACAGCCTTTGCCCCTCCTTCCAATATCGAAGCCTTCAACCACTTGACGTGTAGTCCGATCCTTGTGTGCAGTCCGATCCTTGTGTGCAATAAAGCTTTGGGGACAGCAAACTTTGCATAACCCTATTCTCAACAACAGTTTGTCAAGCATTAGTCTGCATCACTTCTTACATTGCCTCGAGGTTTTCAAGCATGCAAAGTCCTGCAACCTTCACCGACAAACTCTTAAGGCACACTGAAATCCAGTTCCTTGATTGTAAAACTAAAATGTCCGGCAGAGCACATTTGTTGAAGCTATGCGCCCAGATCAATCTGTTTGGCCTTGAGTGTGGCCATTTGTAAATTGTTGGGAAAGCCACTCTCGCCAAATCTTGCCTCCGCAGCATCAAGAGGCGATTCTTCTCCCACATTAAAAGACTCGAGGCAGCCCATGGATTATCCACCATTGGTTGTCGAGGTCTTACGATAGTGTTGCGTGTTGCAGAACTGACCGCAATTAAGCCCAGTCATGGTCAACCGTGATTTGCTCCCTTCTGCAGCTTTTGTAAGGGAGCCAGTTGCAGCTGTGAATTTGTTTGGTATGAAGCCCACTTGCGATCGAAAGTGACCGTTTGACACTCGTATTATTTACACACGAGAATGGGACATCACGTGAGGTGGTTGAAGCCTTTTGTATCACAAAGAAGAGTAAAAATTGGGCTGATAAACCCGGCTCTGTGGGATGAAAGAATGACTTATGTAGGCTTGAATTAATGGGTGGTTGCTACGTAAGTCTGCTCGTCTATACGACTCTGCATCGCCCACAGTGTGGTGTTAGTGTCATGTATAACTGTAAACTTCACTTGTGAGTGTAGGGCATCTCCCCTCCTTCATCCAGTGACGCGCTCTTTTGTCAAAATGAACCCACTTGCCCAAATCTTGACATTTATTATAGGCGTTGTGCAGCCCAGTTAAAATTTGTGGCTTTGCACTCACCTGGTATGAGAATGCTTGCTGGCCCATTTGCGAGTGTAGTAGGATATTGTAGATTGAAAGATGACACATAATCATCATTGTGTGCTGCCAGCATTTTAGTTAACAGCTGTGTTTGCAAATTGTCAATATCATTGTATGCAGCAGCATTTCTTACTCCTTTTTTTTTGGTGGAGTTAGTTTCTGCCAGGTATCGTTTGAGTCATATTAGTGAGCAACATCTAATGAACCAATATGTTCTTACCTCATATTTCTTGTGCAAGTTTTGGATTGAAGTGAGATGTAAACATCTGCATCGACTTGACTAAGGATAGTCAAGGACGTTCCACGTGGTTAGGAAGCAGACAGAAGAGTATGTTATCTTGTTTTGGGGGAAGCTACTAGGAAAAAGATTTCCTTAAGTACGTAGCCATTAACACTGAAATTTTCGGCATCTACTATATATGGCTTTTTAGGCTGATTTCAAATATCTGCTCTATTTGATATTCGGTTGCATAGTTTTCATTCTCCATCATGACAATGTGTGAAATGTAGCTCTTTTTAGACCCACTTTTTTTCTCTCTAATGTACCGTACTAATTAGAAGCCACTAATGCCTAATAAATTCCTGAACGGTAACTGTGAAATGATGAAAAGTTTCTAGGAAGTGTGTACAAAATGTTTTAATTAATGGGATAAGTTAAATCTAAAAAGTCTTAAATTGTTGAGATGCTAATGATTGCTTACTTGAAATTTATAATAATCATCCTAATCATATATGAGCTGTCAAAACCTAATGAAAGTTACTGCACTCTTAAAGTGTTAAGAAATATGTGTGGAACATTTCATGCACATTCAACTATCGAATGTCGCAAAGAAATGGTGTCCAAACTCAAGAAGTTGCCAAAAACTGCAATTTAAAGTGGAAGCTTGTCTATGCGGCAAAGATATGCTGTTTAAAATTATTTCTTCTTTTGTGAGATTTATAGTTATATTGAGCATGTGGCTTTAGGGAACAATGACATGCAGTTATGCAGTGTTAAGTGGGGGACTGTAAACAACGCTCTCGATGTAGTTTTTAAGTTATTCTTTACTTTAACCAATTCACATTTTAAATACAATCTTGGTAGTATTCATGAATCTAGAGAAACTCAACTTGACAAAACAATGACATGCAGGAAACTTGTAATTTCTGGAAAACTTGCGTTTGCTTTAGTAGAATATTTGTTTAGGGAAATTATGCACCGAAGCACTTTTAATTTCGCTTGTAAGTGTCTGGGGAAAATGTGACAGGTTAGACTAAAAACTACTCTGGCGCTTACTCAAAACAATATCCATCATACTTTTTAAGGCATCAGCATCAGTGCATCTAAGTTGTAGCACCGTGCTAAGCTTTTATCCAATGGTGCCATTATCACTGCACGCAGAGGAGTGTGCACTGCTACGTAATCACAGCGCTTCTGTCAACGTCACGTTTGCGGCCGTTTGTATACAGTCTCTTTGGAAAGGGCCAGAGTGAAGTTAGGCCTGTGTTTCAGACAAGCATACTTGTCAACTTGGAAAAACTACTCTTAGCAGTCATTATTGATTCACATGATCTCGACTGTCTCATCATTATTAGCACCATGCATTTGTGGCACTGCAAATAAGGGGTTACAAGTCATAAGCAAGCACGCTTTTATTTTTTCCTTCTCAGACTCAAGCCAAAGTGTGTTTTAGGTTGGTGTGGTGGTTCAGTAGATGTTGCTGGAAGCATGTTGTCAAGTTTTCTTGGTTTGACATTGCCAGGGCAAGAAGCGCTTGCTGTGTGCCGTACCATTTAAAATGTGGTCCTCTCGCTGAGTACACTTCTTGATGAATTGGTCATTCACGTCTTCATGAAGCTCTAATGCATGCAGTGAAGCCCAGTCACATAATGGGGAGTTTTAGATTTAGCTTATTGTGCAAAATACAGTAGCCACTGGGTGCACGAAAGAACCAAAGTGCTTATGAGGTTGTAGGCTGCATAGTGTCTTTGTGTTATGGTAGAACCTAAAGCTTCCTACTGTACTATATAATGAATGGTTCCAGTATGTATGCAAAACAGGCAGTTCGCTTTGAAAACAACACAAGCGTCACTCCACGAATCTCTCTGTAATGGACTGGGCAGGATTTTGTTCCACAGCCATCTCTTCTCGTGCAGTATTCCTTTTTTTTTTTTTTAACACCGGGTTGTGTGGGGCAGATGATGAGGGAACCAATAGAACCAAGCTACAGAAAATTTTCCCCGATTTATTCATATGCTGCATTTCTGTGTGAAATAGTTAAAAAAAGCTGTGAAAAACAAGAGACCAGACAAAGTACACATACAGCGCTCTGTATGTGTACTTCTTTGTCTGGTCTCTCGTTTTTCGCGCTGTTTCTTTTCCACTATGTCTTACCAACATGCCCAAGCAACCACTTTAGCCACTTTTTCTGTGTGAAGTTGTATTAAACTGCATCGCGATGATGGTTTTGCATTTCGTCGCACGTACAGCTTGCAAGCGTAAGTAGGCAGTGTGTCTAGCTTGCCCAACGTTGCCTACATAGTGCGAGATGTGATAGTATTTCGCAAACAATACAAGCTGCTTCTTCTCTAGAACTGTTTGATCTTGGGTTCCACAAAATGGAATTGAGGCAAGCTTGGTGTGGTTGCATTTTTTATTCAGCAGCTTCGGAGCAATGCCATTTGTTTAGTATCACTATGGGCACAGAAGTACAGTGCTGGTCTTGGCAATGTTTGTTTGTCTAATGTTTAAGCCTGCAATGCTTGCAACTTTTCATGCTTGTACTTTGGCTGTGTTAACCTTATGCAGTGCATTTCTGTTAAGTGGCCCCTAGGTCTTTGCAAAAGATAGATTCTGCTAAGCATTGACACTACTATTTGCAGTGAGCCAAAGAAAAAAATGAACGTGCAGATAGTCTTTGTAAAGCACAGTGCAAACAAACAAACAGGCCTCGTTTGAAATCTTTATTGTGTCTGAATGCTGATTTCCCGACATCAGTGCAAGTTTCCCCAACTGTCCTGGTGCTGCACTGGCAATTGAATGGCATTCTTAAATAACTCTTAATTGTGTCATCTCTCTTAACGCTCCTAGCTGCTCTGTCACTACAGAATGGCTTTTGCTCGAATTGATTACTGTGCAGGTGGCCTCATTTGAGGTGCTTGCTGGGCACTTTCTGAATGGTGCATAGGAGTGCCAGTTTCTGCACACAACTTTGGTAAATAGTTTCCTCTTTTTGTGCAATCAAAGTGTACGTACATACATACATACAAAGTGCAATTTCAGGAGCGTAATTGCATGCATCGCTTGTCTCCTCCAGCCAGAGTAAATTGGGAGTATTTATAGTGATCGCAAACCAAAGTAAAAGCCTCTGCAGACACCTTTGTCCACAACACGGCACAACTGCACTTGCAGATGTGAAATTAATGTCTTGTCTCAGGACCTTGCAGTAAACTGGGTCACGAAAACATGTAGCTGTTAGTTTTTCTGCAGTGCAATAGGAATGAGAAACATTCTGAGACATGCGAACGACACAATACCGGGCTGACAGTCAACCGAAATTTTTATTCAAATAATGTGTTCTTATAAAGAAGGACTCACTTCAATGTGACATATGTGCTTGCAGAAATTAAATATGAAAAAGTTGAGCGAGCGTTCAAACATGCACGTATGTCATGAGCAGAAGTTTTTGAGTTGCACATGTCTTAAACAAAGTTTCAATCGGCAGGTGGCGCTGTGTCTTGTTGTGTGTGTAGCTGAGCTTTACCCTCATCGTTTGTCGTTCTGCAAGAAAATGGACCAGTGTCAACTAATTAGCCCGCTTCACTGTGCTGCACTTTGGGCAACAGCAGTTGTGTACATAACAGGCACTCTCATTCATGCATACTTTGGCACCTGCAAACGCTCTTTGCAAGCCCATTCAAAAGGCAGGCCTTCAAGTTCTGGCCAAAAATAATTGGTAGTAGGCAGCTGTTTTCATGTACAACACCCCGGCTATTGTCAAATATTCCTTCGTTTAACCAAAGTTTAGGACTGTTGAAGACTGTCACTCTACCTGTAAAAAAGCTGTATATATTTTCTTTTGTAGCCCTACTGTAAAAATTGTGTTTGTAGTCAACACATGTGTTTTTTTCCGTGTGGTAAAATTATTTATTGATTGTTGTGTGACTCCTTTATATGAATCTTTTTTTTTTCCTCTGAGACTGTGCATTACGTTTAGGTATACCTATATACATATATATTTTTGTTTCAGTTTTCTTCAATGCTGTCTCGTCTTTCTCCCTAATGAGCAATACAGTACAGTACTGCACAGTAAGCTTGGCTCCCATCTTACCCTGGGGGCATTGCAGAGACACAGAAATTGATGACCTTTCGACTTTGAATTGGCAACAGCACTTTTTCATAATTCCTGTCCTGTCGAAAGGTGCGAGACCTCTGGGGCCTCTAGAAAAAATGCAGAGGTACTCTCTCATTGCAAAGTGTTAATTCAGTGCAGTGAGCTTCTGCAGCACATGTGTAGTGTTTCATGCTACTAGTACATGTATTTCATATGCGTGTAAGTATCTCACAGAGAGCGGACCGTGCAGTACTTGCTGCATTGGTTTTCGCAAACCTCTAGGAGAACTTAGCTGAGCAGCCTCAATGATGTACATTTTTCCTTTGGCCGAGTTGTACCAGTCTTAGCGCGTTCGAGCATTGCCAGCTGTTTCCCATGGCTAAGTTTTAATTGCACTCATGTTTTTGGTGTTATGAATTTTCACGTAGCACATCGACTGTTACACTTGCTGCTCATTTTTAAACTGCAATATATAAAACCTCTCTTGCTTCCTTCTTTTTTTTTGTTCTCTCTTAGCTTTTTGTACAGCACTCCACTGTCTTGAAGGGTATTGTTTTTCTGGTACATCCTTTCATCCAAACCTGCAGTTTGTGCAACTGGTTTGCTGGAGTACCATGTTTTTTTTTTTTTTCAGCTGCTAAGATTGCAACTTTTTGTTATTTTTTTTTCTCTGTATTGCTGGTTGTCTTGAAGCCAACAGGAACAGCTGATTTTTAAAAAATCATTGTAACCGCAACGCCTCATTGTGGTCTAGGATGAAAAAATAAAATAAATATACTACAGACAATAAAGATGATTATTGAAATGCATAGCCCATTCATCTCTTACTACCTTGGTAAATGTGAAAATTCTGCTTGAAAGCTCCTATACACACCCAGAAGCTGCCAAACACTGAACTACTTTGCAAGCACCCCCCACTCTCCCGCTTAGGCAACTCTGTGTGGGGGGGAGGGGGGGGGAGAAGTGTTTATGAGGGAGGTGCACAAAATGACAATTATATCCCTTTCTGCAGTTGTGTATGAAACTTGTGTGTGCTAATAGTTGCATCAACTCGAGGTCAAAAGAAGAGAGCCAGACACATAGAATGAACTCCATAGTCGATATGCCTTAAAGGACCCCTGATGCCAAATTTGGGAACTCGAGATGCTTCTGTTGTTTGATAGTCCTGCATGTGGGGCCACCTTTGAGCAATTATTAGTGGCAAGTGTTGGCTAGAAGATATTTTAATTTGGTTTTAAAGTAAGGGTACGTGCTCCTCTGAGTATTCAGGTGCAATCAACATTTTTCGTGGTTCGATGTAGACAGCGGGTCGGTCCCCTTGTGACTTTGCAGAGCTCTCAAGGGGCGCACACAATACCTCGACTGGCACCCAGCGAAGACTATTGTTCGTCACCCCTCTCTCTCTGCTGTTTGTTAGTTCTCGCAGTTGTTTAGGCCACTCAGGCCAGGAATTCTTTTCTTTTTTTCCCAGAAGGACATGCTCAGAGTGCCCACATCGTTTCATTCTTTAACACCCGCAAGTCTCCCTGTTTGAAAACGGCCCGTGTCAGCGTCACCAAAGCTTGAGTGCACGTAGTCTCGGGCACTGCTCTGCTGTGGGGCGTTAGTTTCGTATATTATTCAGGCGGGCATTTTGAAATTATGCAAAGTCGTTCTGAATTAACACTGCTAACTTTAATTATGCAATGCATTAAGATAATTTACAATATAACTTTGGCATTACCAGATGCAAGCTAAAAATTACTGCAGAAAACTTACAAGCTAAACTTTCCCTGTCAGAGATCCTTTAATCACAGTGTGCTGCGTGTGACTGATCACTTCAGTGAAGGCATAGAGTTTTCTAAAATTAGCTAGAGGGGACTCTATCTAGCACTGTGATTGTTCAGCGACCATGGGAATGACGGGTAGTACACAGATTTGCCTAGTCTTCGTACTTGTAGGCAGGCAAATCGCACTTGTGGTTTTGTTCATTACTGTTTTGGAATGGTTTTAAAAGAACGAAGAAACTCCTTTGTGACCCGGTTTGAAATAGTACTAAGCCTAAACAAATAAGGTGGTGAAGTGCAGCCCCTGAACATTTGCTGACACAGAGACAAGAAGGTCCTTCGTGTCCTTCTTGTCTCTGTGTCATTATTTTGTTCTCGCGCCAAAACTATCGTCTATGGGTGAAGGCACAATGATAAGTCGTTCAACCTGCTGTGTTCCAGAACCAACATCAAAAGTATCGCTTTTCTTTTCTCTAAATGAATATTACCAAAAACTGATTGCGTACGAATTTGTAGCTTGTGCTTTTATTCTTTTTATATCAGAATGAAACATGACTGACCACAAGATAATGAAATACTAATTCACATGCTAATTAAAACTAATGACAAACTTGCACCTAACAACAAATTGTGCCTGTGTGGAAGAAGAATCGGCAAGCATGGAGGTCCATCGCGGTCGACTGGCACACACAGACAGTTTGCACTCTGACGATGCCCTGCCTGCTGCTGCTAGGATCATTATCGTAGAATCCTCAAACTGGTGGAACTGCTGAGTACAATTATCTGCAACTATACAACCGGAAGCTCACACTGACCTCCACAATGCCGGAAAAGAAACCACTGCAATAACAACCCAGTGCCATGGTGACAACAGTGCTCTGCCCTAGCCTATTTTGTCAACGTGACCTGCCCATCTTGAGCGGTACAGAAGAGGGAAGTCTGGCTCACTGATCACGAATGGGTGATCGTGATCAACCATTGAAACGACACTGGGAAGCTGAGTTACCTGTCATTTCAATTGAGTGGCGAGTGTGGCATTGAAACTACCAATGTGACCGTGCAACATGGGCTGCCTTCGAAACTCATGTGACGGAGATATTTTATTTGGTGGCGCTTGCAATCTTCAAGCCGAGCAACATTTGCATGGCCGTTTGAAATTGAGGAGTGAAAATTTCATAATCTGCATAAAAAACATTTTTGATCTATGCACCCACATTGATGTTGCAATGATTGATGCCAAGTAGATCGGGCATATCTTGGAAGCAATTGAAGACGATGCTTCCTAGAGGCTGTTGGCGATGCGCCCATCAACAGTCTAAAGTAGTTACTAGGGCTTAACTAGGAAGTAACTAAGAAGTAGTTACTTTGTCAAAGTTTCTATGAACTGCATTAACAACGAGCAGCCACCCACGACCTCAATGTCCGGTCTGGCTATTGTTCTTGATAACTTCCTGCTGCTACAGATTAAAGATTTTGTTCGAGAAGAAGTCGGTCGTCAGCTATCACTGATGCCACGTATTCACAGCAGGTAGAGTTCTCCATTGGTGCCCGCTCTCCAGAACATCATCAGGAACCAGGTAGCTGACGAAGTACCACCTTGTCTTTATTAGTCTCCAAATACTGCTCCCCTGAGGTACGCAAAAGCTGCTTCGAGGCCTGTGCTGCTAAGTTACAGCCTACGTCGCCCTTGTATGCATCCCGCCGGTGTCTTGACTCGCTCGACCATTCGTACAGTACACACGAGCTGACGGCCCTTAGCACACGGAAGACAACTATCCTATTTGTTTTTATCGTGACTTTGCTGGACATGTGGCACATTACTGTCGCTTTGGGGTACCGAACGCCTCCAACAATGTGCGACCACCATGGGTCACGTATGTGCCACGCCAACCCCGCTGTAGTTATTCAGTGCAGTTAAGGTGGCAGGAACTGCAGTTCCAATGAAATGTGAAACATTTTTGAAGTTGCTATAGGAGGAATACAAACGCTAGCCCTCGTCAACACTGGGGCTGCTCTGTCAGCAATTGATGCCCACATTTGCCGCTGAATCGGAAAAGTAATGACTCCACTTTCAGGACTATTCCCTCGTACAGCCAACGTGCTGCACATTGAGCTGTCCGGCATTTGCACAGCCCGTGTCGTCACTCAGAGTGTTGTCTATGTTGTCTGGAAGCACGTTGACAATGGGCTCACTGTTCAAATCTGTAACCCCGGTTGCGAGCTGTGCAGAGCAGCCTCCCATCGGTCCTGGTGTTGTCACCCTTGCCATGGGGGCTTGGGTTTGTTCGCACAATTCAGAAATATGTGATTGAAGTTCCCATTTGCTGGTGCTAGGACACAAGTTTCAAAGAAAAGAGGTTTCGCCATGCGTAAAAAAGGAGAGAATAAAAATAGTCTGGACGTGGCCGCGCTGAGTCTGCGCCACAATACCTGGTCACTTCTGGAAAGAGATTCATGTGGTTGGGATTACGTTAGACAAGAGTTTCGATAAAAGTGCGTGACATCGTGGTAACTTAGGAGTCGACCCCTGGCACCTCAAAGCGAAGGCCGGTCGCATTGAGCCCAGTTGATGAGTGCCCGTGTACGGGTGTGAGTGGCCAAGTTGCCTGGGTGTCCCCAGAAGAAGGTAATGAGGCAAGAAGGCGGAGGAGATAATTAAAGAACTCTAGCAGCTCGAGCGTGGATTTTGGGTGTGATGAAATCATGAATTGCAGTTTTAGAATCGGAGAAAATATGCTCAGCGGAAGAGTGAACAATGGTTAAGGCAATTGCCGCCTCCTCTGCTCACAGGAATTCTGTCGAATTTGGCGTCCTTTCATTTCGGAATCGGCGTCCTCAGTGCAATCGACAGCTACTTCAGTGCTGCTTGCCTCTTGGCAAACTCAAGTGTAGGCCTGCATTCTATACTTAGCAGGCAGGAAGTCCGATCTACAATTGCTTATCTTTGTGCAAGGGCATTTTTTGATGGGCTGTGACTAAGTGGAACTACATTATGCAACATGTTTTTATTGATTGTGAAAGCTGATGTGCAGGAGAATAAAGGGGAAAAGTTTAAAAAGTGTCAAATATGTTTTTTGTTTTAATCGTCTTCAGAAACTTCCCTTGCATGCTCTTTTCTTGAAGTTAGCATGATTATATCTTTTTATTGAGCGTTAATATAAGCTTTGGCAGTTTTATAAATAAGCATGCTGTGAAAGTAGTGGGGAATTTTCACCGCTTTGTCATAAGCCGTTTTTGAAATAAAGGCCTGCAAACTAGGCATAATGTTTTTTAGGTCAAATTTGAGAATTTTTATTTTAAAAAATCTACACTACGTAGGGAACTGCAATATAATTGAACATAAGCGCAAGTTAGCCTATATCTAGCTAAACGAATCCGAGGTACATAGCTTTAATATATTTGGTGTAATTGATCGTCAAAGTCTACAAAAGCAGCCGAGCAGGTAAGCGTGGCACTCAACCTCTTATTCATTATTGATTTACTGTGCTTGGAAAAAATCTTTTTCCAGCAAAACCAATTGCGATCTCTTCTTTCCACACATCAGGCAACAATATATAAAATTTTGAAAGAAATTGAAGAGGTTGACCAGCCATGCTTTGTTCAACCTTACGTGGAATCACCCTAGTATCGCTACACTACATTGCCTTGAGACTCCTTAGGGCCTCCGTTCCCGCGAATTTGTGGCATGATCGGGATCGGGAATCGGCACATGGCACCCTAACTTAACCAGACTGATGCTGACCACCACTTCAAATTACCCACTCACACTTATATAAGCAGGATTTCGAAATAACCGAGTTTGAAGTTTTACTGGATAATGCACTAGTGTGCCCTCTTCCTCTGCTCTGGCAAAGGAGCATTATTGGCTCTCAGGCAGCCACACTGCTCCACCTGGTCTCTCCAACATGCATGCACAGAGGTGGCATTCAAGCAGTTATTAATGCGTTGCCAAATGCCTCCCTGCATCCTCTTTTGGGCAGTAGTATTTGGTGGCATGATATGACCACAAGCATCATCAATCACACGAGTAGCATTCATTCATGTTAGCTATGGGAGGGGCTAGCATCGACTCACACTGATGGCAATATGAGCGTATTGGTTTATGCATGCACAAATAGTGAGTCGCTTTATTGTTGCACCTGGCATAAGCGCAACATTTTATTTATTCGACGGGGCGCAGTGTGATGAAGCGCGACAGCAGGAAAGCCACGAGGCAGGTGGCGAGAACGAAGAAGGCCGCAAAGATGTAGAAGGTCTCCTCGTCAAAGAGGTCCCGGAACGCAGGCACCTGGCTGTACGCACGCAGGAACAGCTCGGCCTGGGGCGTCAGCTGGTCACTACTGGCTGCCTTGGCCATGGCCAGCAGCCCCTACTCCGAGCCGGCCCACGGTCTGCAGCACTTCTAGGCAGCTCAGGTGGCCACACCGAACCACTGCTCGCCGACCATCCACTGCATACCATTCAGGCATCCTTCAGTGCTAGGCTTTTGAGACAGATAGTGATCTGATAAAGAACATCCGAAAAGCAGACGTGTTGTCTTATTGTCATGTGTCTTAATGCAATGTGTCATGAATCTATGAACAAGTGACAACGAGGCTTTTCATGGCTTTATTATCTGCTGGTTTTCATTAAGAGAACTTAGCCTTTAATGTTTTCTCTCCTTTCATTACAGCAATGTTTGTGCCGGAGGCCCATGTACGCAGTGCATGTTATAGAACTGCATGTGTTTGAAATTTCTGGAGCCCTCCACTATGGCATCCCTGATAATCGTATAGTGGTTTTGGAATTTTACGGCTGCACGAGAGAATTCGCCTGCTGTAAAAGCTTTATTTCACAACAAACATTCATAGGTAGGTGAGTGCCTCACAAAGTGGCCAATTCACAACATATAAAAAGTTACCTCAGCCAAAGAATCCAACAAGGTGTCGGACAGGGCTACTTGGTAATCCACACTGGCGTGACTCGGCCACATGCTGCAACACGCGTACAATAAGAGACAGCACCACCGCAGCGCCACTGAAGGCTCGCGTCATCACTGCTGGCTAGCTATAAACCCAGGCAGCGAAGCTCTGAAGAGAATCGTTTTTCTAACCCTTCGAGCGCAGCGTCGGCACACTCGCTGCATGCCTGCTACCACGCCAATGAACATTTGTTGTTTCATGTTCGGATACGTCCTTCCATTGACGCGGCATCCCACACACCTTCAAGAAAGAGCAAATGGAGAAACAAGGTGTAAGGTCTGGCGTCTCAGGCGAAGGGGGGGTGAGTCTTCTTTGTCGCAAAAAAGCGCGCTTCCCAAAGAGCTGATTATCGGCAGACGATAATCCCGGCGTAAGGACTACCGTTTTGGTAAGAAGACCCTGGTCGGTCGCCACTTTTAACAACCAGCTAGATGGTCCCCGGCCAGCAGATTGCCGGCGGGCAACGTGAGGACAGTGTATAGACACCCATCCATCAGGATTAGAGTCCGTGGGACGGCTGTCACCCTGGACGGCATATCCCACAGTAATGGCATGAGCCTGCAGCAAAACGGTGCCACCATTGTGTGCGTTCGCACAGTTCGCGGAACGTAGTGTGCAGGCTGGTCCTTTCGTCTCTCTCTCTCCGACTGAGATGTCGAGTGCTTGAAGAAAAGATTGAGAGGAAAGGACGGCAACAAATGTGTTTTGTCTGTCCAATAAACAGACTGAATTGTTTTGGTTGGCCATGAGGAGAATCGGGACGGGAAACCGAGGGGTTAAAACCTGGCTCCCGTTTCCTCACGGACGTTCTGGTCGCAGCAAAGAGTGCTCTGCACTATCGGCGCTGCTGAGGCAACATGCGACGGTTCCAACAGTGAAAGTGTCTTGTAAATATGTATATAAATTCCTGTACATAATGTCAGGTTGGTGAACGTATCGAAAGGCGCTGGTCTCCATCCTTTACAAGCAGCAGCAGCAGCAGCCACAACAAGACAAGACGGACACCAAGTAACCAACCTTCCACTCCCTTCTACAGCAACAGCCGCTACGCAGCTGAGAGAGCTCTGCTCAAGAGAACAGAGGGAGTGGGTAGAAGGTTGAGTTTTACTCAAGGACACTTCTGAGTTTTAGTATTAAAAAATGACATACGTACACACATCTGTATATACACACCTACTCAATCACATGTGCACGACCAATCTGTGTCATATTTAGCAGGTGAAAAGGATCACAACGCAAAGGAGGAAGAAGATGGAGGAAGAGTTCAAGAAACCGGATCGGAGTCACGGCATCTGGCAGCGGCCAGGGAGTGTCATCAGCTTGTGCAACAAGCACACCATCCTATGGCACCACACCATAGGCCTCGTCTGAGCCAGTTCCAGTTCCTGTTTTTGGGAAATGCTGGGCTGTGCCAGCACCTGCTACGCACAAGTAAACTCTGAGCCTCCCAGCATCATCAACAATTCCATATTGCATTCTTCACCGGAGAAGGACGGCATCACCAACTTGGACGCCATAGTCAGTGCCAGTGCCCCCACAATGCCTCTCCTCATCGCACATCAACACCCAATGCTACGAGTTAGTTGAGCGTAACGCTTCAGTGACTGCTTTCTGTTGTTGGTAGTCTACAGAAATTGTAGCTTTATTTTGTTATGGTTCTATATAATGTGTTTGTTATTTTGTGTGTTTGTAGTTATTGAAGAGATAAAATGCATTTTGTATTAACTTGTAATTAAAAATGTGCGTGTTTAATGCTCTCGCCTTGTTTATTCTCTCTGGCTGACCATCACCTCGAAAGTTGTGAGAACCTGTGACATCAAAAGCCTGTGGGAATTGAGGCTGGCCCGCTGCCTTTGCGCGGGCTTTGCCGCCTCTTTTCTCATGTCCCGACATGTCTGCCCTCCTTTGCCGTCAGCCGCGCTGGGAAGGGCGGAGTGACGTTTAACTCCCTCACCCGGTAACGGATGTTGACTGTGGCGCCGCGCGGGGAGCCTCCCGAGAGGTTTTCGCGCGCTGCGTCGGGAGCAGTGAGTACAGTCCGGGACTTCAAACGGTGAGCCACGCATTCTTTTCCGTCCGTCGAGTCCCGTCGCTCGGGGCTCGTCGGACTTCGCTTACGGCGCCTCGCGCCCGATGCGAACGCTCACCTTTTGTTGCCCCGCTGCGTACTCACGGCCGAAGGGCAGTACGGTGTCCTAGTGCGTGGCCTAGCTACGCCGACCCGTCTCCCTTCGAAGCCAACGCGAGCGCCTTTGCCCTCGCTCGAGCAACCGGGCCCCTTTGTCCCGGTGTCTCCGTGGATTACCTTTACCGCGGAGACGTGCTCGTGGCACCCTGTGTAGTACTTTGTGCCCGTGGCGTGGATAAGCCTACTTGCTTTCCCGCCGCGCCTTTTTGCAACGGGCTGTACTGCGTTTGGTGTTGCCACAATAAAGTGTTGCGACTTGAGCAGTATCGTGTTTCCCGCCACGGCGACGGTTAACGCGTGCCCTGCGGCTCGCTGAGACCGGACCCACGCTGGTGGCCGTACTCCTTCGGGATACGTGTACACCACACTGGCGCCCAACGCGGTATCAAAAGCTCTAGCTTTTGACTGCTCTTAGCGAGTCAGTTCGCCTGCGCGATTCGGGCTCGTCGCAACATGGCTGCTTCGCGGGACTTTTGTCCGCTGTTCCTTTTAGCGGATGCCGCGTTGCACACGGAGGCCATTGCCTCTATTGACGGGAACCCTTCTGCACCCGTCCGTGTCGGCACCCCCTATTGCGGTGACGACACGAGGCGCCTAGCCGCTCCCTTTGGAGATTGCGCGTCGCTTCGGAATGGGCCTCTTGCCCTACCCGAACGTTATGTCTGCTTCGTGGCATGCCGCGTTGCACCAAGAGGCCACCGCCTCTATCGACGGGCGCCCTTCGGCGCTCGCCTGTGGCGTCACCCCTTTTTGTGGTGAATACACTCCTACGTGGTAGCTGACGCGCTATCTCGTGCCCCTTGTTGTCTGCCGAGAACCTGGATTTCGGTGCGACGGCCGCTCGCGGTGCCTTAGCACATGCAAGCGTCGGGGGCGAAACAGCAGCTTCGCCGCCATTCGGCGAGAAGGGTGAGTCCCCATGCGGACAAACCTTGGCTGCTAACCAGGTAAGCGGCGCACCGCGAAGCGGCCGAGCGGGGGAGCTTTCCGAAGGCCACGAGGCCGAGAGCGAACCCGTAACGCCGACTCACGCGGCGGTTGCTGCGGTCCTGAGTGGGCGCGATACCAGACTCCCCCATTTGGGAGAATGGGAATTGCTTTCGGCAGCGAAGAGCTACTGAAGGCTCAGCAGAGTGATCCGTTTCGAGTCTCGGAGGGACGGAGCGCCGTATACGCTGCTTGCTTTGCGGCGGGCGCCGTTAAACCGTTTTGACGAGGCGCGGAGCGCCGTTACGCTGCTTGTTCTGCGGCGGGCGCGATTAGGGGGCTGAAACAGCGTGTGTCGCTGAGTCCCCGGCGGATTAATTTTGCTGGACCATGACGGGCTCCTGCTGAAATATATAGCCACTGACGACGAATCCATAGACCCGTTTAAGGTGGTTATGCCCATAAGTCTGAGAGCCGCACTGTTGCGATCCTCTCACGACGAACGCATGGCTGGTCACCTGAGTGGCTCGAAAGTTTTTGCAAAACTGAGCTGCGTTGTGACTTGGCCCGGCATGAAGCGAGACATTTTTCGCTATTGCCGTTCTTGCCACGTCTGTCAAACGGTGAAATCAAGGGGTGGCAAACCACCCGGTCTGATGAACCGATTGTCAGTGAGCGTCCGTGGCGCGTACTAGCTGAAAGATCCCCTTTGGGAAAACTCAGCCGTGCCCACATCGCAGACCTGAAGCCCTTTGTCATGGTCTGACGAGCTTGCGCCAGTGCCCTGCGGCACTTCGCGCAAGCAACGGGCACACCCGGAGCGGCGGACCGCATTCGGACCCCGCACCGGTATAATCTGAGGAAGCGGTCACCTTTGTGATTTCGCGCCGGACGGCGGACTTCTCCGCAACCGAAGGCCCTCAGTTTACTGTCTAGCCTCAGTATACGTTAGCTTCTTTACGGCCTTTTCTCGTAAAGAAGTTGACCCCGCTCTGTCTGCTGCCAGTGTTTTTTTTTTTTTTTTTTTTTTTTTTGAAGTGTTCATGTGTATTTTGTTTCTTTTGTCTAATATTAAGTGATATTTGTATTTTATGTTTTTGTCAGATGTTGAGTGTCGTTTTGCTCTGTTTTTACTTTTTTTTCCGTGTTCGTTTCGTCTATCGCGAAGGGAGCTGTGTGTGACCTTGTGTGTCGGTGCTTGCCGGGGGAGAGAGAGACGAAGGACGCTTTGCGCCTACGCTCGCGCAGCTGTCGGCGGTGTGTGTGCGTGCTTCTGTGCGTGTGTGGGTGCGTGACGCTTCGATGCGAGCCCGCGCAGAGTGCGTCATGGCTTCCCCCCCATCGATGCGGACGCTGGAGGTACTGGGGGGTCAT